TAGCACTTCCCAGTTTGGGCTGTGCTGAGACTGTGATGCTGCCTCAGCAGTAGAATCTGAAAAGTCTAACAGGAGCTAAGCACTGTGAGTGAGAGCAGGAAGAAGTGGTTTGCAGTAGCGAGGGTGGGTGGTAGCTGCTTGTGAAGGACCAGCTCTCCAAAGAGCATGCTGGGAATGCTGCTTGTAAAAGCAAGATCTCACAATACAAAATTTGCTTGTAACCAATCTAAGGAAGAAGCAGGTACCTAAGGGAGAACCTGGTAGCCAACCTGTGAGAGATGGGGACTGGTGTGGTAGTATGTCAGCCCAGAGCTGAGCCATCCCCACCTTTCTCTGTCCTTCTTGTTAGCGAGCCTGGATAAGCACAACCGCACACACACAGGTGAGCGCCCATTCAGCTGTGAGTTCTGTGACCAGAGGTTCACGGAGAAGGGGCCCTTGCTGAGGCACGTCGCCAGCAGGCACCAGGAGGGGAGACCCCACTTCTGCCAGATCTGTGGAAAAACCTTCAAAGGTAATCATGTGCCAGCAGGACTGAGAGCCATGTAAGAGTCTGGAGGCCCCACTTGCCCTGAGGCTTTTTGTATTAAGTTGGGGCAAATGTGCAGCTGCTTGGTGGGGAACTAGGGCAGCCAGATAGCGATAAACTAGGATGGACTGGCACAGCAAACAGAGGCTTCATCACAGCTCTTTGCTAGAAATCTCTTTTTCTGACATCATGGGAGAGCAGTGTTAGCAGGCTGTTCCCTGCCAGGGTAATACTTACAGCATGGTTTGGGTCCATGGCTCATGATTGTGCAATGCTCAGACCAGCCTGCCCTTCCCTGTATATTACATCTGGCTTCTGACTTTTTCTTAGCTGTTGAACAGTTGCGTGTCCATGTTCGCAGACACAAAGGAGTGAGGAAATTTGAATGCACTGAATGTGGCTACAAGTTCACACGACAGGTATGGGGGATTTTCTGATTCCATTAGTAGGTATGCCCTGAGGCAGCCCAGGTCTTGACCCCATCAACGAAGCCCTTCTCTGGAGCTAGCCAGAATCTGAACATTCAAAAAACCAGTCTTGACAAACCATAGGGGAGCAGGAGGAGTGGCCTGGTCAGAGGACAAACACCTCAAAAGGACCCAAATGTAATCAAACAACTGCACAGATAAGCTAAGTGAGAGCAGTAACAGGGGGCAGGTTTCTGAAGTTAAAGCTAATCTAAAAAGCAGTCTTCTGCCCTTGTCCTGTAGCTGTACAGGATAAGAAATCAGGGATCCTGGTTTCTCTGCTAAAAAAAATTTCTAAGATATATAGATATAGTGGCATTCGATTTCAATTATAGAAAAGCACAGATTTTGGAATGTGTGTGTGTGTGTGTGTATATATATATATATATATATATATATATATATATATATAGCTCTATATCTCTCTCTCTATATATACACATCACTTGAACAGTGTTTTATTGAGATATCTTCAATTTTAAAGCAATTTGGAAGCCTTCCAGTGCCTCAATCATTATGAAATAAAAAAACAAAATTAAATGCCAAAATATATAAATACTTAGAATTTTATCATAGAAAATCAACTCCCCCTGCCCCTTTTGCTCACCGGGATGCTGGTCTAGCTGCGGCTGTTGCTTCTGCTGCTTTGTGGTGCTGAGCAGCCCCTGATATGCTGGTGCCCTGCCCCTGCTGTTGCTCCTCACTCCTGGCCCACAGTCTTGCTACCACCCCCACTCCCAGCCTTACTGGTGCCCCTCACACCTGACCCAGTACCCCCCGGCCCCAGCCCCCCCAGCATGTAGGGAATGGAGTGGGTGTGTGGGGAAGGGGAAGTGTGGGCACAGGTGACACTTGGAGGGTGCGGGGCAGTGGGGGACACAAACAACAGTTAGGGCAGCAGGGAGGGGGCTGACAGGGCTGCAGCCCAGCCAGACCAACTCCAGGCAGGAGCTGCCTCTGTGGCTCAGCAGGTGGGACCTGGCCCAGGAGTGCGGTCAGGGCTGCATGGTGATGGCGGTAGTGTGGAGTTGTGCACCCTGCTGGGTGGGTTTGTACAGAGCACCTCATCTTGCTTGCCATGGTGGCACGGCGCTCCCTTTTATGCTGGATTCCACCTGCTGGGCTGCAGAGGCAGCTTCTGCCTGGAGCTGGTCTGGCTGAAGTGCAGAAATCTGTGGGGGCCTTTCTCTCCTTCCAGCCCCCATAGAATCAGTTGGAGGGAGCTGCAGGAGCTGATCTCCACCATGCTGCCTGGCTGCCATGTGCTTGTGTGTGCACTCACATCCATTTGGTGCCCCCTGCTCCCCACAGTCCCAAGCAGACCAGAATTCTGGCAGCCCGCAAGGGGAAACTTGTGGCTTTTCTCCTTTAAGGAGAAAAATCTGTGTTTTTCCATGACAAACAGAAAACCTGGATCCCTGCAAATCACCTGACAGGTCTTCATACGTGGCTGCCCCTCATCAAGTAGTGCTGTAAAGATACTCAAGTTAGCTCAGCTACATGTAGCATTGTAATTGCATGAGTGTGCTGGCTGCTTGTACTCTGCCAAGAAGCAGCTCCACTGTTTTTAACACTTGTACTTGCTTGCGTGCCTCATAATGGCACTGCAGCAGGTTGTCTTGGCTTACTGCCAGATCTAGTAGGAAATCTTCAAGCAACTAGAGGTTTTCTTTTCCTAGCTCAACAAACTGCAAGGGGAAGGTGGCTAATGCCAGACTCTCACTGCTTTTCTTACAAAGGCCCATTTGAGGCGCCATATGGAGATTCATGACCGGGTAGAAAACTACAATCCGCGCCAGAGAAAGCTGAGGAACCTGATCATAGAGGATGAGAGAGCTGTTGTGGTAGCAATGCAAGCACCCCAAGAACTGGAGGTGGGATCTGCAGAAGTCATTGTGGAATCGCTTTCACACAGCTCCCTGGCTGAAGAGATTCCTGTACAGAGACTGTGCTCAGATGAGGACTTCTCTACCACGGATGTTATTGAACAATCTCTTATAATTACAATCCCTGAAGACTGTGAAACATAACACTTGTATCCCCATGCCAACCAGAAAAAATAAAGCATTAGGTTGGACTGACTGCATGCTAAGTGTATCGTAGAGTCTGGGCTCTCAGAACCTCAATATCACACTTAAAAACACCAACTACCTAGAGCAGGGGTTGTCAACTGGGGGTACTTCAAAAGGTCCCAGGGGGCATGTGGGTGGGGATGGAGCACCACCAACCCACACTGTTGATTATAGGAGCAGGGCCAGGGAGAGAGTAGGGCCTCACAGACACCACGCTGCCACCACTCGCCACCCCCATGTACGGCTGCTTGCCACCAACCCCCCGGAGTACATATTAAAAATGGGGCTGCCAGGGGTACACTTATTAAAATAGGCACGGGGAATAGGCAGCAACTATGACCATGTCGAAAGCACAGGTTGGGGAGTGCACGGGCGGCCAGGCTGGGGCCCCACTTACCATCCCCATCTCCTGGCTGGGCCACATAGTCAGTTGCTTCCCACATGGGGGCCTCAGTCTGGCCCCCGCCCCTTCCCTCCCCCACAAATTGAACTGTCCCCCTAGCCGAGGATCAACCTAAAGAGGCTCTGGGATCTGCCTGTCTATCAGGATCCCTGGGTTGGTGACCACTGCCATAGCTCCTCACTCTGGTAGTCCCTTTTAATTTATCACCTACCTGTGCTGTCTTAAAAGTCTTTTCCTGCAGACCATGTCATTGTTAGCTCTTCTGTCTTCAACTCTTCCATAGCCTCTTGAAAATGTGTATAGTAGAGCAGGATGCAGTGTTTGAATAGCTGTACCAAAAAATAAAATCTTCCTATCCCTGCTCATATATCCAAGAATCTTACCATACTGCATGGAGTTCATGTTGAGTTGCTTGTCTGCTATGACTTCCTAGGTCCTTTTCAGAGTTATTGCTTTTCACAGCACATCTCATTATGAGAGCACAATCAACTTTCCATGCTACAAAATGTGCAAGACGGCATTCTCGTCCTACTGAAACGAACTGAGCGTTCACCTAATATCTGCCTCCCCACCTTCTTTACCAGTCTACCAATCTTTGTCCTCTGCAGTATGTTAGCAGTGATACAAAGTGATGGGACATCCTGCTCCTTGTAGAATCCACTGGAAGGAAACACCCATGTTCAGTGGGGAAAGGAAAGGTTTCCACTTGCTCAACACTGCAAGCTACAGTGCCTATGAACACATGGCTGGAGTGATATCGGTGCTGAATGGGTCACGTGCTGTTAAAGTATTCACATGTAAAATAATAGAAGATTCGCCTAAGAGCTAGATGTGCATCAACCATAGAACACTTTAAAGGGGAATTCAGAATGGCTACAACTAAAGTAATTTTTTTTCTGTCAATAACAAGAATAATAATAATAAGCTGCTGATACAAGAGGCAAGTGTACTGTGACCACCTTTTACCCTTCTCTTATCAGGACTGCTTGAAGTTTTGCTACAGCTGTTTAGATTCCAGAACAGGGGAGAGATACAGGACCTATGCTAAACAAATCCAACCCACAATTTCTTAAGCAATAACTTGGCAGCATCTTGGGCATACCAATCCTCACAAACTTCCCTCTCTTTTTAGAAAATGTAAGCAAGATACTCAACTGACTTGAAGTAGGACTGCAATACAATCAATATCTGCAGTGCTACTAGTTCTCAGCCTGTTACCCAAGCCATGGAAAGGCAGTTTGGCATGAAGAGGTCATCAGTGATAAGACATGAAAGTTTCTGCCTAAGCAAAGCAAAGAGGATACGTTATAATAATAATCCTTTTGTATTCTTATAAGCAATAAATGGACACCAGCAACAGAACCTTTGGCTGTTGGTTCCCATACTGGTGCAGTAGGACAACTCTTTACTGTCTGCCCTTTATTGGCTGCCTTGAAAGTGACCATTTAGTCAAAAAGTATGCCTCTGACCAGCTATGGGTCATGTAGCATCAGAGGCAAGCTAAACAGGTTCATAGTCAGTGAAAACTGAAAAAAATACTGAACTGCTTTATTTAGCTTGATTGTTTCAAGTTGAAAAAAACTACAAGGATAAAAATACAAAATCTTTCAATGTAAAATGCCTTTGCTTCAAAGGATGGCATTTAAATTGTACTTATTTTGGACACAATGCATTTACAAAAAATAAATACAAATCCATATAGTTATTTAGCTGGTTCTGAGCTTCATGACACAAAGTCCAGCAGTAAGCACTACAGTATGACATACTATACATATTAAGAATTTGGCATAAATACCTGACCATTCTACTATGCAAGTCAAGTTATAGGCAGCAATAGTTCCACACTTAGATGGACTTTAATAGAGGTTTTTAACTGTCACTAGATTAGCCACCAAGTTACTATTTCTTTCCCTACCACTCCAGCTGCATGTGCTCTGTAGAAGAGGACCTGTCTTGAGGCTTGTTTAACTTGGCTCTTGCCCACCCCTGTGGTGCAGAATAACAGTGTGCACATCCATCTCTCCCCAAATTTCATAGCAGTTACCAGAAAAAGTGACATACTGAAATCCTGGTTATGATACCAAAATGCTCCAGTGACTGGCATTCTCTCACTTGTCAGGCAGGACAACTAGTTCACTTTTCCTCAGCTGGGGCATTGGCAAGAGTTGCTAGTGTTACCCTGTACAGCTTCTTTACTACAGGTAGAAGTGCCCACCTGACAATCTCACTCTCAGCCCTCAGCGCACAAAGCCCAATGCAGACACAGAAACTGAAATATGAAATAGAAGTTAATGCCTAATGCGTTTATCAAATGCTTTTTAGTATCTGTGCTCCATGCTGACGGTGAGCCAGATTAAACTCTGCCATCATGTAACTACTCTATTACCCTGTCTCAAACTTTAAGGTACTGGCAAGAACACGTGAGAATTTAAGAATGGCCCAACCTGTATATTATGGACATGTGGAACACTCTAAGTACATAATGAAGTCATTGTTGCATACCAACATATTTGAAAAAAAAACAGTTTTTTTGTGAAACTGCATCTTCCAAATGAAGAAGCCAAAAGCTTTGTGACTGAACATCTGGGTTCATGGCCTGTTGTTAAAATTTCAGTTCATAAAGTCTTTAGTGATAAAATCCATAGCTACAATCTCACCTACTGCTCCACTTCTTCATTCCTGCTGATGCTCGACTGGGCCACATTGACTGTTGAACTGAAAGTTGTTTCAGAGGAGCACTATCTGAGATGTTCCACCAGGTATGAAGCAGGGAGTTTCTCTTCTAATGAAACTTGCTTGTTTGGGTCAAATATAGAAAATAAAATGAAACTCATTATATTACATACTTAAGTTGAAAAGCAGAACTTGCAAAGGCAACACTGCACCCTACACAGAATTAATTGGGATGGTGGATACACTTACAAGGCCCCCAGCTAGCATTTATCAACTGCTCAAATGCCAGCAACTACGGCAGTGATGAAACTGCAAAAAAATCTCCCAGGCTTTTTAACACACAGATTCCATTTTTTTAAATCATCATTTACCTCAGCAGTTCTTTATTATATTGTTTATCTACATATCCAATTCTGTGCAATACATTGCCAAATGCTCAGAAATATGGTAGGGTCCCCAGGAAGCTCTTCTATATTTTCTACCTATCATCTTTTAAGTCCTCCTCTCCAAGAATAAGATTCTGATCTATCTCCTTAAAGTGGCTAAGTCATGAGAACATGTCCTTTCCCTCTAACAGCATTCATGGCCCAGGGCCCAAGTGTTCAGTCCAGCACAAGTGCTTAGGGCTTGATAAGAAAGAGTCAAGTTAGTCTTTAGAGCTCACTTAGCATTAAGAACAAATAGCAAATAACCCCACTTTGACACAAGAACATGCTGCAGAAACTTCTCTGCCAAGCTCAGCTGCGAGCTAAACAGTTTGATACAAACAGCAGCTTTCTCGCAGTGTGGATGCAAAAAAAGAGGTTCTTTGCTAAAGGACTGAAACGTACTACCAGTCCCAAAGTGACCTGCCAGCCTGCCTCAGAGGGGAAAATGTGAAACTTTTCTAAAGAAACAGAGCTGTCCTCCTAGGAAGGGGCAGGAAACGTGTAAGCATTTTAAAGCAACAAACGTAACTGAAGGACTGAAAAGTGGGTTTTTTAAAGTCAATTACACATACACTGAAGGTGGGGGGAGGGAATGTGACATCCCACTAATTCAACCCTGCATGAGCTTTTCACACCACTGCCACATGGTATGTTCTGAGTGAAAGCCTGAACAGTGATGAAAGGCTATGGTGGTGCAGTATATTTAGGGCTAGGTAGTTAATCCTCGTGTTTTCTTGTATGTGGAAAGGAACTTCTCTTGCCAATGTGGTTTGAGAGGGTCCATCCTCTTCCAGAACACTGTGCAGAGACAGGCCCAGGGCAGACCATGCTAGACCCATCCTTCCAACAGGAGGGGCCTGGGGCATTAAGGGACTTTGGTCCTGTCTGTCTTCTGTGTCTACTTCCAGAGAACAAACTAAGAAGAAAGGAATCTGGTGGCAAATGTGAAGTGTCAAATGGAAAGATGCTGACTGCAGGATCCTTGTGAAAGGTGTCTAATCACAAACTGTTATGCAACCCTGAAAGAGTGACTATGGTGCTTAAATTACAAGTGATATTTAAAATGCCTGTTTTCTTCAGCGCTTGCCTCAGAGCTGGTTCATGGGTTACACTGAACCTTCTCACTTTGCAGGAAAGGGCTGAGGGACACTGCACCCAAAGAGGCTTCTAACTTTCTACCAGCTGTTTCTACAGCAGCATTTTAATCTCTGAGGATTTTCACTCCTCTACTTGCAATTACAAATCTGTATGTTTCAGTCTCCAAGCACCAGCTGGCTTCTGCCCCATCTCAAAATGACACTGGTTATCTGTAATGAATGCACTTCAAGCCACAGGAACGAGAGGTTCTACAGCTAACGTAATTCATTCAGATTCTGATTCTGAAGATGCTGGTGCTGCCTGTTCAGGTTAATGGTATTATCCAGAGTGATGCCATCATCCTCTTGGGTAGTTTCTGGCATGAACTGTCGGAATATACTGACACTGCCGTGCCAGAAGGTGGGTTCAGGAAGCCGGCCCACTATACTCCATGTTCGAATTTCTGGATCATAAGCTTCCAACACATACGAAAGTTCAAATGTGTTATCGTAGCCACCAGAGACGTAGAGCTTCCCACCAAGCACGGCCACACTACCCCCAACATGAACCTAGAATTAGAAAGAAAAGAGTTTTGCCCATTTTGATAGACAGCCCAGGATCAAATCTGGCCAACAGTCTTAATTTGACTTCTCTGTTGGCCTGATAACTGCTGAAATCACAATAGTAATAGACACCAGTAGGTGATTTAGACCTACCAAACTCTGACCTTGGAGAGTCTGACCCACAGGTTTCTAAGCCTCACTTATAATCAGGGAACCTGGTTTTCTCTGATAAAAAATCCCTTGTTTTGGGATTATATATATTTAATCCAAAAATAGGGTTTTTGGTTTTGTTTTTTAAATCAGAGAAAACCAGGATCTCTGCTTATAATTGTGCTGGCAGCATATCACAGCAAAACTGACCAGGGTCAAGCTTGGCTGAAAACCAAACAGTATTAACTTCCACTAGGGAAACTATGATTCAAGAATCATGAGACAAAGCAAAAAACTGTTTCACCACTTTGCAGCACTATCCTGGGTTGGCTAAGTAATTCCATTTGCTATCTGAATGGCAAATGCTCTGAAGCAGACTTTTTCTAGCTTTGGAATAGAATGGAATATATCATTACCATTCACTGAATTTCCTTTGTGCCTTGTGGAATATACATGGTCATTCCTTGCCTTGAGAAGGTCATAATCCAAATCAAGGACATTATTTCCAACCATTACCAATAGTTTTTACAATGAACTCCCTGTTAGTGCACTACCTGAAGCATGGGAGGTATTTTGTCCCATTCATTCTTCACTGGATTATAAACATCCACTTCAGCGGAATCATCTCTGTGGAAGTAAAAAAGGAAACTAGTAGTCAGATCTAAAACCTTCTCCACCTCATCAAGCACCTGATAAAACAGGGGTAGGCAATTATTTGGGCTCAAGGGCCATATGAGGAGCTTTGATACGCTGTTGCAGGCTGGGTCAACACCCCTCCCCCTCCCCCAGCAACACACCAAAACTCCCTATGGGGCTGTGGGCAGGTGGGGAGCAGTGTTCAGGAGCAGGAGGGGTGGGCAAGACTGACATCATGGGGCCAAGTCACAGGATGGTGACAGCTCTGGGGGGGTGTAGGAAGGGCATGTGTGTGGGAGGGGGGCTGCCCGGATGCTAGGTCCCAGGGGCCTGCCATGGGTGAGGGAAGGGAGCTTCCTTTTACATAAGCAGGGGCAAGATCAGGTGCAGAAGCTGCCACTGGATAGGTGTTGAGCAGAGCAGCACCTGGCCACAGTCGCATTGGAAACAGCCCTACCAAAAGCTATGTGCTGGCCAGGGCCAGGCTGTGGGTGCCAGCAGGAGCCTGGCACAGGCTACCCCAGCACAAGCGGGTGGGGCACTGCCTTATGTGTAATGCTGCGAGGGTAGCCATGGGCCAGATCCAGTCTGCTAGTGGGTTGGATCCAGCCATGGGCCATATGTTGCCAACTCCTGTAATAAATCCATCTCAACCAGTCTGAAATGCTACATTTACTTTTTTGCTTCCAGAGTTGCATTCACAAATCCACATGCAAGTTGAGAAAATGCCACCTGCAAGGGGATGTGGGGCTTGATGCACACCTTAGCTCCAAGCATCTGTTTTTTGTAAGGCAGCATCATGGCCAGCCCAGGAAAATAAATATGTAGAGACCAGGAACAAGTGAAAAAGGGCCAGCAATGACTTCTATGCTACATCTAGGCTACATTGTTATACTAAGTCTCCTCCAGATTCGGTACTAATGAAGTGGTACAAAGAGCCTGGAGACCATTTTCCTGCTTTTCCCAAGTCAAAGCTGCATGCTCTTTAATAAGTATTTTGTCATGTGACGTTTAAAAGGTTACCCATCTAAGCCAGCCAGTTGCATGTTGAGAGCAGTAATCAAGAGACAAACAGAATGAACTCAGATCATCCATACCATGTTGCAGCATCCCTGTTTGTACAATTGCCCAACTGCTACTCAGTCTTGGTGCACGCACAATTCATATACAGGTTCCCTTGATTTATGCAGTACACGCATTCCCAGAGAACAGCAGATAAATTGAATTTGGATAAAGAGAACCCACTTTATAATGTAACAGATAGGGATACATTTCCATGGCAGTGAGGGAGGGAGGGAGCAAGACTAGGGAAGGGGCAGGGGGAGGGGTGCAGCACAGCTTGTTGGCAGCCCCTGGGGTTGCAGCAGGCAGCAAAACACCAGGAACTGTGAGTGGGTGCAGGGGGGCATGGCTCTTGCTGCTACGTGCCCCCTGGAAGGGCTGTGGGCTGGGGAGCTGCACTGGGCTCTTCTGGGGGCATGGGGTGGGGGGGCACCAGTAGGCTCTCCCCAGAGCTCGGCGGGCAGGTTGCGAGGACTAGGGCAAATTTTGGGGTGGCAGCAGCCCCCCTCCCAGTGCTGCCACCACCTGCATGGAGCACCAGGAAGAGCCCAGTGGTGCCAGCAGCCCCAGCCTGTTGCGGCAGCCTGCTGTTGTTCCGTGCAGATTTGGGAGCCTGCTCCTGCCCCCCAACCCCAGGAAGAGCCTGGCACAGGCCCCCCAGCCTGCAGCCCTCCTGGGGGATGCGTAGCAGCAACAGCTGCACCCTCCCATCCCACAGCCCTGCCCCCACACCCACTCACAGTTCCTGCCACTTTGCTGCCTGCTGCAGCCCAGGGCCTCTGCTTCTTCCCACTCACCCCAGTCCCTGCAGGAGCAGCTAATGCTAACTGCCTGCAGCCGCTGGGCTGCACTGTGCCCTGAAGCTATGCAGAAACCTTCCCTTCCTACCCTAATCTGACAGCAAAGGCATGTATGGAGGAAGGAAGATGCTCACAAAAATTGAATAATTACACATCACCCTATTTAGCTCTCACTTCTTGAGTCCCCAAGATTCTAAACTAAGGAGCTCTGCTAGAGGTTCTCTGCTACTCCCCACTTACCCCAGCTGCTGCAGCAGACCCAGGGAGCAGCCAACACCACCTGCCTGCACCATGGCATGGTGCAGCCTAGGGGCTGGGGTGAGTGAGGAGAAACAGAGCCCTAATCGCATAAGAGTGAATTTACTATACATATAAGGAATTTTGGGTAGAAAAAAGGTGACAGCATAAAAGCAAATTTGCATATATGGAATCTGCATAAATTGAGGGAAACCTGTAAGAGTAACCCTGAGAAGTTTTGGCATGCTTGGTTTTTCACAATCCAATCTGAAAACATGTTTGTAAACAACTATTCATTTTCATAATCTGTACTTGCTTCCCGAAGATCTTCATTTTGCAAAATAACAAGTGCCTAAGAATCTTGCAGGAATCCAACTGTGTCCTGGGGTGATTCAAACTCTCTTCACCGTAAGTTACCACTAGAAGTATCCCTGCTGGGTTGGAACTTCAACCAGTACCAAGTTTAGATGGAGTGAGGGAAATAAAGGAAGGACAAGAGGCCTGTAATAGAATAACTAGCAGCAGCAGTATAATCCCACAAGGCTTCTTTGACTCATTCCAGGCATGAGGCAGACTTGTGACAGCAACAGGTGAGGGGTGTTTGTGACACAAATGTGCTTTGCTGACACAAGGATATGCAAAGAACCAGGTCAGGGCAATATAGCTTTTCAAAGAGGGACACTGCTGTCAAGCCATCTCTACCAAGAAGCACTTTTGCTGCCTCTAAGATTTAGTATATTAAAAAGCAGTTTGGGAGACAAATACTTCCAAGAATGAAAGAGAAAACAGACATGGCTGGAAGAGAGACCAGGAACAAGAATCTAACATGTGATTCCAGATACTATCTTGAGTAAGGACAGGACATTCTTTCCCATCTCAAGACAGTTTCTAATAAGGGAGTAACTGAAGCCCCCCTGCTTTGCCATGAAGCTATTTATAGTTGTGACCAGCGTCACTAACGCTGGTCATAAATCAGTCACTTAAAAATAACTAGAAGTTAGCATCTTGAATAACTGTGTCCTTCTTTATCCTGTGAATACAAACCTAATGTTTTGTGACTGTCCGTGTAAATACAAGAGGTAAACAAACTATCTACAGCACAAGGAAACCAGGTGGTTTGGGGGAGCAGGGGCAATTCTGTCCTTTGCTGGATCAGGTAATCTTATCAACGCTTGCAGATACACCCAGGGACAGTCAACCACTCTCTCTTCAAAATTCTGACCCTTGAGCTAACAGCCTGTTGAAAACAACAAGTCCAATTGGCTCAGCAAGCATAACAGTGGAGTAATCTGATGATGAAAACCTTTACAGTATTAGCTAAAAGCTAAAAACATTAAAGCAATAACAGTGAACAGGTGCTTGGAGCAAAGATGTTAGGATGATCAAGAACAAACCCCAACACAGCACATAAATGCTATGGATACAACTTGCTGCTATAAGCAAGCCCCAGAGGCAATAGGAACAACTTCTAGACGCTGTTTCCAAGATACATTTGCTCATATCATCTAACATCCTGCCTTCGCATATGCTTCAGAGATTGCAAGCCTTTCAGTTATTTTTAATTATGGAATAACTTAAGTGTTTTAACTATTAGGGCAATTCTAGACAGTAAGTAAATGCTGGTTTTAATGGATGCTTAAAAATAGTAAGCAAGTCATTTTATTTCATGTTCTCTTATTTCTGCTCATATAGACTACCCAGCTGTCCCACCTACTATTTTCCTGGACTTCCTGAAAGTGTGTGTGGTGTGCATGAACATGCATCATAATGACAAGCACTAAACAAAAACAAAACTGAAGAATCCATTAAAAAAAAAGTGTAATTGATTTCAACCAGATCTGTAGCCCGGACCCCGTTTTCCAACTGGTGGATTTATTTTAGACCATTGTACACTATATTAATGTCCGTCTTTGAGGTTAAATTGCGAGAGCTATGAGTTATGCAGTAGCTTTGTTAGGACACAGAAGAGTTACCAGAAGAAAAGTCAAGTCAGTAGTCTTTATTAGAAGCACACCGATACATTGGTCCCATATTGTATCAGCACTGACATAAGGAAAATTGATGTTATCAGCAACTGGCTTTTTTTGGGTGATGTAGCCAATAACGTCGCCGATAAACGCCCCGTGCATGCACACAGTGCAGCACACAGGCGGCCAGAAGCAGCCCTGCAGCTTGGAGACTAGCATCCAACTGATAAGTCTGTTGTGGGAGAAGGGGCAGATCAGATCGAGGCCCTGCAGTGAGGAAGGGAGTGGGGCTGGGGCAGGGGTAGGCGCTGCACAGCCAGGGCAGGGCATGGGACAAAGCTGTGAGCAGCACGTTTGTGATGTGCACGGCAGTGGGTTGGCTTTCTCTGCTACGCACACCCCAGGAGGGAATGGGAGTATGTGCCCCCGGATCTGTGGGTGGCGCGAGGGCAAGTTGCCACTGGGGGTTGGGGCAGCACCAGGTTCTTCCCAGCATGGGAGCTGGGCTGGGGCTGTGCTCAGGGTGGGCAGTGTTGGTGTTGGGAAGGGGGTAACAGGGGAGGCTACAGCCACCCCAAAATTCACTGTAGCCCCTTGTATTCCCCCTCCCAGTGGCACCACCAGTCACTCCAAGCGCAGCCCAGCCCTGCCCCCAGCCAGGAAGAACCTGGCATTGGCCCCAGCACACAGCGGCAGCCCACCTTCACCCTGCACAGAGATCCAGGGGGCACCCCTCCCCCCATTTCCTCCTGGTGTGTGTAGCAGTGGAAGCCGCCCCTCTCCCTCCCTGCGCCCCCCTCTGCCCCCAGAGAAACCACTGCTCCATTCTGCACCCTGCCCTAGCTGGGCAACACCCAGCCCCATTCCCTCCCTCGCTGTGGGGGCCTCGATTTGCCCCTCTCCCCTTCCATCCCCCCTTGCCCCACAACAGACTTACCAGCTGGACGCTGGTCTCCAAGCTGCTGGGCCACATAGTGGCAATCGGATCAGCATTGGACGATATGGCTCATTAAAAATCGGCTATTGGTATGAGCCCAAAAATCTTTATCGGTGCACCCCATGTCTTTATTTCTAAATACAGCTAGGCACAGCAATGACATTTTCTCCAACAAAGCAGTTTATCTCAAGGGGAAAAAGTCATCACTTACCTTATAAAATACATGAGCCCATTAAGAGTGACAGTTTTTGGTGCAAATGACCATGGAGGCAGTTGTCCACAATTCACTAGAGACCAAAGGTCAGTTTCAGGGTCATAGCATTGCATAATCATTGATTCTTTGCCTGCTAGAGAGCCGATGGCAAAGAGCTTGCCACGACAAGAAGTGGTGGAGCAGTTGTCCATTGGGTACATCATGGGTTGCAAAGCCTCCCAGGCATCTATGGAGTGGTCATAACGTTCTGTGCTATCTGAGGCTATCACATACAACAGTCCATCCAGGACTGTTGAGCTGTGGTATTCTCTTGCTTTCAACATTGGAGAAACTTCTGTCCACTCATTCACACTGGAGTTGTATCTCCAGACACAGTCATAGAGTCTTGACCCATCTGATCCTCCTATAGAAGAAAGCACATTTCAGGATAAATATTTCACAAGGCATTAACTGTCTGGGAAGGAAACAGAGAAGAGAGGTTCTTCCAAAACAGATCTATTTATGTAGTTAAAAAAATTACTATTTTGAAGAGTGTAACTAGGTTGGAGGCTTTCCCCCTTATCTGCCTTATTACTTAAATTTTTGGCACAGTAGGGGAAGAGGGGGAAAAACATGGGCATTACCTCATGACAATTTTAAAGCTAACCATGCCACCTAATCTTAAATTTGCTTGAAAATTTCCAAGGAGCAAAACTTGGTATCCAACCTCCAACAACCAAAGAACAATCCAAGAACATGACTTCACTTAATTACTGCTTCTAATATAACCATTATCTTTAAGCTTTCTTTTAGCATCCCCTGTTCTCTGAGCAATGGAAAATTGAAATTAACACACAATCTGAGCATCTTCAATGACAAGAGACCCTGCCTGCAAGTACAGGACTCTTGACAGAAGTTGGCAGTCTCAGGATTGGATTGGTGGCAGAAGGCTGAGTATCACAAATTCTAGGCCAATCCATCTTAAGCTGCTCTTTTAAAACTATAAGCAGAGATTTAACACAGTTGCATCAGAAAAAATACAGGCATTTCAGTTCAACACTGCACTCATGCCATCATCATTAAATCATAGCCAGGCTTTTTGTTAGCCATTTATATATATCAGACTAAAGACCTGTTTGTTCGCTTAAAACCTCTAATGGTATAAGTTTATTAAAAAAGGCACCCCAACATATAATTATACTGATAAATGTTTTCAGTGTAGATGCAGTTATACCAGTAAAAAGTGCCTTATATTAGTATACGTTATTCTGGTTATATATCCACTGCATCCACCCTAGGTAGTGGTAGGTGTTGCCATGTTCATTAAATTGGTATCATTCAAGCATAATTTGTTAGCACAAACCACTTTTACTAAGATAACCAAATTTTAGGTTGTTTAATATATGTTAAAAAAAGAATATTGTCCCCCTGACAAATCAGGAAACTAAAAATAGCACTTTGGCTCTTGTTCTTCAGCACCCTGACACAGCTGTGCCCAGCTCAATGGCTCTCAATGCTACTGAGGGCTCAAGCACGGGAAGACTGCCCGGTAAGCTGCTGGCCCAAGCGTGCAGGGTTTTCATGCTGTACAGTTATTTACATGTCTCTAGGTTCAGCCTCAGCCTCCTCAGCAGGAATTTTACAACCTTCTGAAAGTGAACTCTGCCCTGCAGTCTTAAGCCAGGAGTTGGAAAAGTTACCCCAGTGCAGAGCCTGTGACAACCAACTACATACTCGAAAGTATTAGTCATTACAAATTAGTTTCCAGTCTGAGATCAGCTACTAAATCCATCTCTAAACAAGCATAACTGCAGGAGGCGGAAGTCCCCATTTCAAAACAGAGACTCACAGTCAGGCCATGATACATCTACAAAGAATGAGATACGTCCTGCTCCCAAATGTCATGGCTGCAGGAAGGTCCCAAATTATTTCCATGACAATTTCAAACCTTTTCTGCTTCTGTCAATGTAGAGCTCTTGCTAACAGGGCAAACTACACCCTGGGCAAACTGCCTCTCTACTTCTGTCCATGTTTAAGTCTTCCAAAATGCAGGCCCAAACCCCACAGGCACCATGTTCAGAAGCTCTAATTCTTCACCCTGCTCACCTAAGCTGCACAGCGACAGGCCCTGCCTGCTTGCCTCCCTGCCCAGCTGCAGCCTTCAGGTCCATCCCTAATCCTTAACAATCAGTCCATAGGGGTGGCAGCAACCAAGGGTGAGCAGAGAAACCCCATTCAGCATTGCCCCCTCCCCGCCCTGCTGCAGAGCAGCACCACGCAGAGCCCTTTCGCCCTGCCTGGAGACCAGAGCTGGGATGCATCTTCATTGTGAAAGATGCTCTGCTGCCTGCCCAGGGGCCAAGGAGTCACTCCTCCCCCCACCCCTCCCAACGTGGCAGCAGGAGCTCAGGCTTCCCTACCCTGAGGCCACCAGCATAGCCAGGGCCAAAGCACAAGGGGCTCCGCATGTCTCCAGGCGCCCCTACCCGTGCCCTTACCGGTCACGTAGATGTCATTGCCCAGCGCCGCGATACTGTAACCACCGCCCAGGTGCTCGGGGAAATCAGCCAGGTAGCGCCAGTGCCCCGTACGTGGGTTGTAGCAGTCAACTGTGACCAGCTCGTCGCAGTCGCGGTCGCAGCCGCCGATG